GGAATGAGATATTCTCATCCCAGATCATCATCTCCTTTTCAGCTTCTCATTGCAACCTCAGGGCCCTCTATTGCTAAGCAAGGGTTAAAAATACTTGGAAAACACAAAGTACAAACCTGGAGAAAACTACTGTATCATCATAAGGATCAAGTCAAGTAATATTTTTAATAATTTGATTTTTAAAAATTATGTATTTTATAAAACCTGGTTTCAGAGTTAAAATCTATATACAGTGAAATCCACAGATCCTAAATATATTTGACTGCTTTTGAAAAATACATGAAATTATATAAATATTTTGCATATTAAATTAAGAATATTTTTATCACCTGAGATAATTCTCTGTGCTATCTGCCATTCATCCCCATTATCAGAAGCAGCCACTGTTTCAATTTTCTGTTAGCTATTTGGATATTAATTTAATTTAATTTTTATTTATAAATTTAGCAGAGATAAAGAAATGATCATGTATTTCCTTCCTCAGTGTTTGACATATTGATAAATCAATCTATATACCTTCTTCCTAATGAATAACTTTAGAAAGACCAAGGATTCAGTTGAGAGTTTAAATTAAATAAGCCTTGAATAAAATGTATGCATCTCAAGCTGAGAATGGGTGTCTAACACAAATGCTAGTTCAATATTGAAATCTAAAGTAAAGACTCCTTTCCAATTTTGATGCTATTTATTTCTTTCTCCTCCCTAATTGCTCTTATTGATACTTCTAATACTAGATTGAATGAGAGTGATTGAAGTGGACATACGTGTCTTGTTCCAGATCTGAGGGGAAATGCTTTCAGCTTTTCCCTATTCAGTATCATATTGGCTGTTGGTTCGTCTTATATAGCTTTTACAATTTTGAGATATGTTCCTTCAATACCTAATTTGTAGAGGGTTTTTTTTTATCATGAAAAAAAAATTGAATTTTATAACATGCAACTCTGCATCTATTAAGATGACCACATCATTTTTTCTTCATTCTGTTTAGGCGCTTTACAATGTTTATTGATTTGCAAATGTTGAACCACCCATGCATCTCTGGTGTGGTGTTGGATTTTGTTTGCCAGTATTTGGTTGAGGATTTTTATATTTTTGTTCATCAAGGATATAGGTCTGTAGTTTTCTTTGTGTGTTGTGTCTTTTTTCGGTTTATCTGAGTGATTCTGGCCTCAGAAAAGGAGTTTAGCTGAATTTCATCCTGTTCAGTATTTTGGAATAGTCTGAAAAGTATTATGGATAGTTCCTATTTGAACGTTTTATAGAATTCAGTAGTAAAAGAAGTCAAAATATCTATGTTTACAGTTGACATGATATTGTACATGGAAAAACCTTAACACTCTACCAAAAAGCTGTTAAAACTGATAAACCAATTCAGTAAAGTTGCAGGTTATGAAATGAACACATAATACACAGTACCTTTTTTATATGCTAGTGATAAACTTTCCTAAAGGGAAATCAAGAAAGAAAGCCCATTCACAATATCCACAAAAAATCAAATATTTAAGAATAAATTTAACTAAAGAAATAAAAGAGCCATACAATGAAAATTATCAAACATTGGTGAAAGAATCCAGGACACCCCCAAAATAGAAAAATATTCCTTGCTCATGAATTGGAAGAATGAATATCATTAAAATATCTATGGTATCTAATGCCATTTATAAATCCAATATAATCTCTATCAAAATTATCAACAATGTTCTTTATAGAAATAGAAAAAACAGTTCTAAAATTCATATAGAATCATCAAAGTCCCAAAATAGCCAAAGTGATCCTGAGTAAAAGAAATCAAGCTCTGGAGGCTTCACTATATCTGACTTCAAAGCATATCACAAAGCTATAATAATAGTAAAAAAGCATGATACTGGCATAAAAACTGAAACATAGATACATGAAACAGAATGAAGAGCCCAGAAATTTGTCCATATGCATACAGTCAATTGATTTTTGATAAAAGTGCTGTCTATTGGAGAAAGGAATCTCTATTCAATAAATGGTACTGGCAAATTTGGATGGATATATATACAGAAGAATTAAATTAGGTCTCTTTCTCTCACCATATACAAAAATCAACTCAAGATGGAACGAAGACCTAAATTTAAGACATAAGACCATAAGACTCAAAGTTGCTGAAAGAAAATGAAGGGAAAACAATCCAAGACATTGGTTTAGGTAATGATAAGGCCACCAAGGCATAGACAACAAAAGCAAAACTAAACAAATAATATTACATAAAATTCAGAATTCACATCAAGAAACACAGTCAGTAGTGTGAAAAGATATCCAACAGAATGGGAAAAACTATTAGCAATCTACCTATCTGACAAAGAATTGATATCCAGAAGATATCAGCAACTCAAAGAATTCAACAACAAAAAAACAACCAATCCAGTTAAGAAATGGGCAAAGGACCTCAATAGACACTTTTCAAAAGAAGAAAGACAAATGGCCAGCAAATATATGAAAACGTGCTTAGCATTACTAGCCATCAGAGAAATGCAAATCAAAACCATTGTGAGATATCACCTCACCCCTGTCAAAATGACTGTTATCCAAAAGACAGAGAATAACAAATGCTGGTGAAGCTGTGGAGAAGGGGGAACTCTTATACAGTGTTGGTGGGAAGGTAAATTAGTCCAACCTCTGTGGAAAACAGCATGAAGATTTCTTAAAAATCTAGAAATAGACTTGTTTTGTGATTAAGATATCCCAAAGACATGAACACATTCTATCGAAGAGATACCTTAGACTATACTATGTATTAAAAACATGTTTTCTAAAGTAAATATTTTATTTTCTGAGAAAGATCCAATATATGTTCTATAATGTTGTTATTTCAAATTTAAAAATCACACCAACTCCAACATTAGCATTATTTTTTTTTGATTTTGTGACAAATGCGTCTAGCTGAAGTATGTGTTAGAAAGGCACACACATTAAGAAGAGAGCATGTACTACGTACTTTAATCACTGGCTGAAATGAGTGAGAATCTCAGCATTCTGTAGTGTTATGCACAATATTAAAAACTTTTAGGGGCTGGAGCTGTGATGTAGTGGCTAAGGCCACCACCTGCGGTGCCAACATCCCATATGGACGCCGATTCCAGTCCCCGCTGCTCTGCTTCCAATCCAGCTCTCCGCTATAGCCTGGGAAAGCAGTGGAAGATGGCCCAAGCTTCAGGCCCCCGCATCCACATGGGAGACCCAGAGGAAGTTCCAGGCCCCTGGCTTCATATTGGCACAGCTCTGGAAATCGCAGCCAACTAGGGAGTGAACCAGCAAATGAAAGAACTCTCTGCCTCTCTTACTGTCTCTGTGTAACTCTGACTTTCAAATAAATAAATAAATCTTGGATAAAAAAAAAAAAAAATTTAGTCCCAGGTTCACAAACACTATACACTGTATAAGGTACTTCAAAAAATTTTGTGGCAAGAGCTAAGTTCAAAAATAAGCCTACTTTTATGCAAAAAAAATGGAAATCCATGGATAGCTTTATTTTCATAATATGCATGTTTTCATGAACCAGTTGAAGACCACTTATACTTGTTTTCTTAGCACCTTGTTTTCATTTCCTTTGATCTATACATACTTTGATACGTATATTTTCTCTGGTTCTGTTCCTTTGTTGACTCCTCTCTTCACTCTTAGGTCTGAGATTCCGTGATCCAGTGGTTAGACCTCATTTGTCTCGCTGCCAATGGAGTTTGGCTGTGTTGTTTCCTTCAACCATACCTGCTATTTTAGAACTTCGCAAAAATCAGTAGCTAATATTGTTTGTGGTGGGCCTGGAAAAAAAATGTTGGAGAACTGCATGGATCAGGCATTGTGGGTGGAGAACTACTTGCCAAAATTTCAACCCTCACTCTGCTATTTGTTGGCACAATCAATTAGCACCTTTGTTTTCAGAATCTAAGTGATAATAATACCTGCCATATCCCTTTGTCTATAACAGTGACAAAATTAAATGTGAGAGTTTTGTAAATTTTAATATGTGAAAAATGTCAGATAATATAGCTATGAACATTGTATTTTTTGTAGCCAATACTGATGCAGATTTTTAGTTAAAAAGAAATAAGAAAACAAAACCTCAGAATAGTTTTCCTCTGACCCTATTTTGCGTTAAAGGTAAAGGACAACTGAAGCTGGCCAGGAAGATCTCATTACTTTGCTCTATCGACTGCTTCTTTTTTGTATTCTTCTAAAAAGCACTGTTTCTCTGCTTCCCCTATAATTTATACTTTATTTTAAGTCTCATTACAATGTAACTTAGCTTTAGCTTGAGTACCCCCCTTCATTGGTTAAAAAGATCATTGAGGTTACAGTACTTTGACCAAATTAAGAGAACAGTAAATATACAGCTAGGGGCATGGAAGAATGGAACCACAGGTTTTTAAGAACGTATTTATGAGATCTTAGTTTTGTCAATAAAGTCTTCACTGGTATGAAGTGGAGCCCACTTGTCAGAAGGAAAACAATTCTCTTTTTGCCGTTTTTGCAGAACATTCAGATAATGGTTCGGACTTGCTGTTTCCATGGACCCCTTCAGTCCCTGTAGATCCACCTTCAGTGTGTTCTCTGATTTCTTCATTCTCCTTCCATCATGATGGCATTGCTCTTTTCCCCTCTCTCTTCCACACCATTGTTCTCTGGGTCTTGGATGAGTAGCATCTGATCTTAGCTGTCATTCCTAGAGAAGGATTTATTTGAACCTTCTAGATAATTCCAAATAACCATGTAAAGGTCAAAAGGGACAATAATACCTAGATAACTCATACTGACTTTCTCTAATAGTGCTAACAAACATCCCTGCTTGTTAAGTTCAGCAATGCATGCTGACAGTAGTGCATAGAGAAGTGGAAAGGAGGGAAATAAAACAATTTAATATTATTTCAGTAATAATTAATTTTAAGAATTTCATAATGGTGAAAATGTATCAATCAGAAGAATAAATACAATGTGATGTGATTTGAGTAATGAGCTAGTATTGTTGTATCTTATAGCCACAGTCTTCCTGGAGTTTTGGAAAAGGAGAAGAAGTATACTGACATATACTTGGGACCTTATGGAATGGGAAGAAGAGGAGGTAAGAGGTTAGAAACCTGTAGATAAGGAAACTGGGATATTGAATGCAGAACATTATTGACTATTCTGACATCCAAGCTAGAAGCAGGTACACACCATTAGATTTTCATTTGATCTTTTCATTAACAATTATTTTACTTCATTAAGGTAATAGAGATGAATTACAAAGATTTATTTTTGAAACCATTTCTATGATGTTTCTTTAATTACACTAGTGGGCAATTGTACTAATTAAAATACAGTTTAGGATTATTTGGAAAATAATTTCATCCTTTTTTAAAAAATTCTTTTTTGTGAATACTTAATTTAAATGTAGGCCAAATTTAGGAGTTTTATATAAGCCCTTGGAGGCATCTTCCTAAATTTGTGGCTTTGATGATTAGACAACTTTCATTTCTCTCACAGGAAACACTTCGTCCCCAGTTTGAAGCCAAGTATTACAAGATGGAGGTTGTTAATCCCATCACAGGAAAACCTGAGCCACATCAGCCCTCTTCAGACAAAATCAGTCGTCTTCTTGTATCTGTCTCAGGAATATTCTTCATGGTAATGTATAACCATCAATATCAGAGTTGTGGAATTCTTGGTTTGCAAGGAAGGTCTCTGATACCAACTCATTTTGTGACCCTGAGAATATAAGAAGCCTATTTCAACCTTGGTAATACATGCAGTTAAATAAGATGGAAACCATAGCAAGGTGTGAAGATTTCATAAAAGGAAATTGTGCACCTCTCTACATGAAACATTCAGAGGGAGAAACAGAGATCAATCACCCAAGATAAAATGGAGATTGCATGGGTTTCCTTGATGAATTAGATATCCTGTGTTAAAACCAAACATACCACCAGTTGATTTATCAGAGTGAGTCAGGGGCTCGGTGATACAGGAATCAACTGAGTCAAGCCAGTTTGGAGTTCTAACAACAGAAGAAATGAAGGAGACTTATGGAAGCTCTCAGATCAAGTTTACACCTCCTAAGCTTAAAGCATTCATGATTGACAAGAGTTTTTCCAGGCCTATTACTACCCAAAACTGTGTAATATACATGCATAACAGAAATACCACCGGCTCAAGCATTTCTTTTAGATGGAAATGTCTACTTTTTCTTTCTTATTATTTTTTTTATTTTTGACAGGCAGAGTGGACAGTGAGAGAGAAAGAGACAGAAAGAAAGGTCTTCTTTTTGTCGTTGGTTCACCCTCCAATGGACGCCGCGGCCAGTGCACCGCGCTGATCCGAAGCCAGGAGCCAGGTGCTTTTCCTGGTCTCCCATGCTGGTGCAGGGCCCAAGGACTTGGGCCATCCTCCACTGCACTCCCGGGCCATAGCAGAGAGCTGGGCTGTAAGAGGGGCAACTGGGACAGAATCCGGCGCCCCGACCAGGACTAGAACCCGGTGTGCCGGTGCCGCAAGGCGGAGGATTAGCCTAGTGAGCCACGGCGCCGGCCGGAAATGTCTGCTTTTTCAGCAGTTTTGTGAGTTAAATTAAAGAGTAGAGTAATTATAAAAAAATTTTAAAAAACATAAGGATTCCATTTAAAAGAGGAAATTTGAACTTAATTTGGATTTTAAGTGTGATAATTTTGTTATACTAAAACAACTTAAGTATTTCTGGGGTTTTTGTTTTCAAAGTTATTTATTTTAAATTATGGATTAAACTAAGTGTATTTATGGAGTACCATATGATGTTTTGAATTATATATACATTGTGGATGTTTAGATACAGCTAATTCAAACATATACTACCTCACATAGTTATCATTGTAAAATTTTAATTTCACATTATTTATTTTTTACTGTAATGTTGCTACTTCCTTAGTGGGGAAAATTAAATCTGTGAATCCTCTCTTGAGGTAGTGTACGTGATCTCTGGTCTTGCTTTTGAGTTGTTAATGGTATAAGATATGGTTAACTTCTCTGTTCTCCTATATTGTAGATTTCCTTGGTGATTACTGCAGTGTTTGCAGTAGTGGTGTATCGCCTTGTCGTCATGGAACAATTTGCATCATTTAAGTGGAATTTCATCAAACAACACTGGCAGTTTGCAACATCTGCTGCTGCTGTCTGTATCAATTTTATAATTATTATGCTGCTGAATCTTGTAAGTGTTTATAATGTTATTTTTCGATAGATAAAACCAAATTGGAAAGGGGAATGATATAAGTTTATTTTATATTTGGAATATATTTAAATGGAAACCAAAATAAGACCAAGCCGTGTTTATGGCAAAGACAGCTCAGTTTAACTAAGAACATTTTATCTACATATTTTAGATGATCGATTTCTGAAATGAAAATCTAATACTAATTGTATTGCCCTTCCTGTCTTTTTTTGTCTATAATCTAGATGAATGATAATTTCTACTCATTTTCTAGTGTACGTTAGAGGTAGTATTATACTTTTCTTAGGCAAATAATGGATTGTTTGAATTAGAAAACTGCTCAAACATACTCAATCTCAATGGAGAATATGTCGGAAATATATGGGAAAATCTGTTTGAAAGTGAAGACTTCTCATCTCCAAGGTCTGATTTGAAATATCAAATAATCAGACAGCTACTCCAGCTTCATTCCAGTTTTCCATTTCTGGAATTTCTCTCTCTCTCTCTCTCTCTCTCTCTCACTCTGTCTCTCTCTCCCTCCCCCCTTTTCTCTCCCCCTCAATAAACTTTAATGTAGTACAATAGTTAAGATATTGTATTATAGTCTTACTGTCTTCAGTTTTAAGTTTAATTTCAAGAAGGAGCTATTTCTTACAGTGTCTCCAAACATGTCATACGATACTTTAATTTAATTTATTCCTTTGGCTCATAGATTAAAGTGTACAATAAACATCAAAAGTATATAATGCTAAAACTAGAAAATTATCACAGTAGTATGTGCAAGGTAGGATAAGTTGTACACCTCACAGATACCATATGGAAGAGTCATTTACAGCATAGACACTCTAAATACATATATTTATCATGCACATTTTCTGAAAGATAATAAAATACCTTGTTTCTAAGAATATCAGTATATTATGATGATTTTCCGAAGTAGACCAGAGGTTGCTGCAGTTGACCTCATTATTTCAGTGACAAAAACTAAGTAGTTTGTTTATTTCTAGATAACCCTAAGAGTCAGTCTGATTGTAAGTGGACTTATCTTCAGTAGGTTAGTTAATATAAAAATAACTGGCCATTGACATACTATCCAAGATCTATATTCTATTATTTAGAATCTAGGATTCAAGACACAATAAAAAATAAATGATAGTTGAAATACAAGGAACCCTGGAAAGGGTGAGAAAGAAGGCCTTAGATGAAATGGAGTGTTGGGGTCCAGAGACTAGATGGGAAGACTTGAAGAGAAGAGAGAGTATCTCTTCTGTGATAGGACAACAAGGAGGAGAAAAGGAACTGTCTTTGGAGAAACTAAAAGTGCAAATACATAGATGCATAGAACCATGTGGGAGTTTTTTGGGGAAATGATAAAAAATATGTTTAGAAGAATAAAGAAAATGAGATGAGGGACGTACATCAGTGTGCAGCTGTGGAGAACTTGAGAGCACATAGTGAATATGGACAGAATATTTCTGCTCTCCTACTCCTGTGGGCAGTTAGGATCTGTAAGGGACACAGTACTTGGGCAATAAATAGCCACCAATCACCTTATCAGATACATTGATAGATGTAGAGGAGATTAAAATATCATATATTATTACTACATAATTAAAGTGCTGATAAACTTGTAACTCAAAAAAATACAAAACTTACTAGGAAGAAAAATAAATCACAAAATGCTTAGAGTAAAAATAGTTATCTGGAGTAGAATACCAATCATGGCAGAAACTGCAAAAAAAATTACAAATTACTAATTCTGTCTCACCAAAGGCACTACATTTTTATTTACAAAGTTTAAAAAAAGTTTCTGTTTCACAAAATAATCCAAAATTTACACAAAAATATAAAACTTCCTAGGCAAACATAGAGGTGATTTTTAAACTATATCTGCTAACGATAGTATAAAAACTCAAACTCAGGAGCATGTACATCCACATAGATAATAATTCCAAGTACACATCAATACAATATCCGGAGTTATTGGTAAAAGGTAAGATAATATGTTATGTTTATTTTCTTTAAATGTTGTCTGATTTTTATCTAATATATATAATTTTCTAGATTTTCTATAATAAACTTCTATTAAGACTAGCCAACCCCAAATTTTGATATTAATTCCTGATATTTTACATTCAAGAAATCGACAATGATATAGTCTTAAATTTATGTAGAAAGATTATTATATTATTATGTAGATTTGCAAAAGTTAGAAAAGAGATCTCCATAAATGACCAACAGTAAGAAAATGCTAATTCAAATTGTATTTAATGGAGTATTATATGAACTATTAGAATTGTATTTTATATATCTTAAGGACTTAAAATACAGAAAAAGAATATTGAATTTTAACTGATTCTGGTTTTCTATAATACACACACTAGCACACACACACCAGGATTTTGAAACTAAAGGGAATGCCGATCAAATGTTAACGGTTTTCATCTATCATAAGGGAAATGATATGTGAAATACAGTTGTCACTTAATATAGCTTTTTCTGATCTTACAAATAGTTATTCCTGCACATATGTGTTGATTCACAGCCAGGAAAAAATGTACATAAATTTTTCTTTTAAAAAAATCTAGCATGTTATAAATGGAATAAATGAGAAATAGATTGCATATATACATGATATATTACATATATGTACATGATATATATGTATATATATGATATATATGTATGTATATCACCTCTAAAACTGTAGCCATATTGGTAGCAACTTTGGTCCACTTTGTAAATTTTTTCTTTTACCCATAAAAAAATGATTTCTCAGTGACTCAGCAACATGCCAGCAATCGGGCTTCCCTCTGTACATTGTCTTTCTTGATACTATAGTTCCGCTCATTGTCCTGACAAAAATAAGTGGACTCTGGACACATGCAAAGCAGATTAATTCATATGTGTGATTTGGGCCATACACTTTAATTTTTTGATATTTCAAATGAAAATGAAACTACCATTGGATTATGAAAAGATTAAATGAGATTCTCTTCTAGTGCGTAGAAAAGAGTAATAGTACAAACCTTTCCATCTATATTTGCTTCTTTTTGATATTTTATAATTTTATTTCCATTTATGAGTTATTTATTTCCCTTCTTACAAGATTTTGAAAGGTTGACAATTTTTTCTTTGGTCTTTCGAAATTCTTCAGAGCATTGGTACGTTAATTAATATTTACCTTTTGCTCATTTTTGTTTAAATGTTTTGGTTACTCAGTCATAAGCATTAAAATACCCAGTCATGTTTGCAGAAAGAGAATCACATGCATTTATTGTGTTACATTGTACAAAATATATAATAATATAGGAAAATATTTAAAGATTCTGTTCATGCAGACATCATACCACTATGATAATTTTTAGTAGTGTGATTCTCTTTAATGTATTAATTTTATTTTCTACTATTTAAGTCTGTTGTTTTGTCTTTGCTTTGAATGATGAACTTGATATGAATGATGAACTTTATTAATTTAAAAATTAATAAAGCAGGCTGGCGCTGCGGCTCACTAGGTTAATCCTCCGCCTTGCGGCGCCGGCACACCGGGTTCTAGTCCTGGTCAGGGTGCCAGATTCTGTCCCGGTTGCCCCTCTTCCAGGCCAGCTCTCTGCTGTGGCCAGGGAGTGCAGTGAAGGATGGCCCAAGTGCTTGGGCCCTGCACCCCATGGGAGACCAGGATAAGTACCTGGCTCTTGGCTTTGGATCAGCGCGGTGCGCCGGCCACAGTGCACCGACCGCGGCGTCCATTGGAGGGTGAACCAACAGCAAAAGGAAGACCTTTCTCTCTGTCTCTATCTCTCACTGTCCACTCTGCCTGTCAAAAAAAATTAATAAAGCAGAAAGCATTAAAATATTAAATAAAAAATCAACTATATCATAATGTCACTTGCCTCCCTTCCTACCATAAATCTAATTGTGTGTTGGAAGTAATTCATATTAATAGTTTTATGTTCCTTTATTCTCTTGCTCTCCAATTAATATTGCCTTCAAAAGAGCACCCTGTGTTCCTGTGTTTATTAGGTGATTTGTTTCAAAGACCTTCTGAACTTCAAAAACATTTTAAGTGAATTCATGGATGGACCTAGTATTTTTGAAGATGGGGAGTATTTCTTTTTAATTTAATTCAATTTTAAAAAATTTATTTATTTAAAGAGAGCAGATTTCATGTATCTCATGTATACAATTTTAAGCACATAATGGTACTTCCCATCTTCTGTCTCTTCTCCATCCCCCGTCTTTCCTTCCTTTTTTTTTTTTTTTCATTTAATTTTTTCAATAGCATCCTTTCAACTTACTTTATAGCCACAGGCTTAATCCTCCACTAGATAAAGAACTCAACAAGTAGAAAGCAGAAAGACTTCTGTGTGTGTTCCACAAAGAGTATTGCACAAAAAAGGAAAATGAGGAAGTCAGGTGTTGATAAATAATTTTTGCTTAAGAACACAAGCATGGCATTTCTGGGAACAAACTCAAAGTCCAGGCTTCCATCCCTACTTCTCAATCAAGCAGAAGAACTTATCAGACCAAGCTCATGATCAACGCCTGCATTTGAAAAAATGGGAGCTTAGCCACCAAATATTTTCTTATGGAAGAGTTCTGTTTTCATTGATATTGTGAATATCAGAATCTGGCTGATCTTTTTCCAAGATGTACCAGATTCTGGTTTAATATTCCAGTTGCTTCTTCTTTATTTTTTTTAAGATTAATTTATTTATTTGAAAGACAGAGTTACACAGAAAGAGGAGAGATAGAGAGAGAGATAGAGGAGAGAGAGAGAGAGAGAGAGAGATGTCTTCCGTCCGATGGTTCACTCCCCTGATGGCCGCAATGACTGGAGCTGCACCGATCTGAAGCCAGGAGCCAGAAGCTTCCTCCAGATCTCCCACGCAGGTGCAAGGGCCCAAGGACTTGGGCAATCTTCTACTGCTATCCCAGGCCACAGCAGAGAGCTGGAAGGGGAAAGGAGCAGCCGGGACTAGAACCAGCACCCATATGGG